AGCACAAATTGTATTTTTGTATTGTAATGGTTTAAACTGTAATACATGTGTACCATAGACTGACTGTAAACACTTATTGATCTAAAGAGGCTACTCAACTAAGATTCACAAAAGTGATTCATGAATAACATCATACAAAAATCAAGCGTTAAAATATGACAGAAAATAAATTTTATTTGCATTTGAAGTTTATTGAGACGCGCCCTATCATGCTTAAAACTCTGATTGTCGTTCTTGTATCTGTAAATAGGTGTCACAGGTGAGCGATTCCATTGAAAACGAAACAAGTTGTTATAATACCTGAGATTTGTGACCGCTCCCCCGATAACGTTCGTGTTCACGGGGAAATTAAGATATTTCATGCATAATATCTGTTGTAAATTTCGTATTTTCGGATTATTATTTATCCATTTGTGATACTATACGTAATTCACAGACAAACATGGCGCGTATGGGAAAATGTCACTTATGTTTGTTGTTCACAGTGTTGCTTTTGATACTAATATCACTTGGACTTTTAGTGACCAGTATTGTCACAGATTTTTGGTATGAGGTTGACGGTACCAAGTCTTCAAACACGACCATACAAAGAGATTATTCGTACACCATGGGAATGTGGCGAAAATGTTACAAAAATGGAATTCCGTTTAGTAAGTAGCGAGATTTATTTCATGTAGACAGGTATAAACATTCCTGTATTTTTCTCAATATGTCAAGTTAATTCTCTAAATACAATGTATATCGATATTCAATACATTATAACACATTCAATGTACAAATTCTGTTGTAGGTTTGTGTGCAGGTAGGCGCCGTGCTGTTACAAAAGCCGTGTCAAATCATTTGTATTTTTTAATAAATCAAGTTTATTCACACAGTGCATCATATATATCAATAATACAAATACAATGTACAAATGAAAGTGGGCGCGTAGAAAAGAGAAACATTTTAGGTGGAGTCACTTTTGAAATATTTCAACATTTGTAAATTAAAATTTAGTGAATAAACGTGGGCGATGTCGTAAAGTATTTCGTCCGTACACACACACTAAACTTGAAACATTTATGAATAATTACATAGAAAACGGGAATCAATCTGACTTTAATTAAACAGTTATAAATAATGTTTATTAGACTAGTTTGTATTCTTAACACATAACAATCACAACTGGAAATTCCTGAATAACACTGGTGAACGTATCAAGTCAATTAAATGTTAGGTTTATACAAACGCTTATCAAAGTGCATTTTATGACCGTACATTCATGGTTTAAGCTTCGTTTTTTGTTATCTCGAGTGTTGACAAATTTGGCGAGATGTTATATACACGATGAAACAACCTCTGTCTACATGATTTAAGTAAATTAAAGGTGTAATACAGCCTGTAAAACTAAATGTTTATATACAACGTATCTTAAGCATGCTAATACCTAAATACCTTAATTGAGATGATATTTAAATGTTTACCTACATTAAACATCTCGTATGTTTATATATGATAAGGTATAAGTAGTAAAGATGTAAGCATGCATCTTCTGAATGGAATGTAAAATAACAATGCATATTTTAAATTAAGCATTAAAATAACGCTATTTTTGTCACTATTTCTACTGAAGATAAAATTTAATTAAAACTGCCTGAAGTGCATCAAGCAGTAATTTATTCACACATGTGTTTATATTAACATTTTAAAGAAACCTATAAAAGAAACACACCTATCTCATACACAATATAGATACATTTAGTTATGCTTTAAAACACACACCTATACCAAAATTACCGTCATGGTCAATGGTCCAGAAATATTGGCTATAGCTAAATATTTGTAAAGATTTAGTAAAATGTTGATCTATTCCTTGTTTGTTATATAATCTGATACTATATGTTGTGAAGGTTTGGACAAAAACAGACCGCCTTTAGCTACTTGTAAGTTTACTGTATGTTTTAATGATGCACTCGCAACAATCATGTCTATGAAAACCACAAATGGAAAATAAAAACAGTTGTCCTTTGTTTAACATTTATTTATTGTCGTTAATTAAAAAAAAAACTTCAAAATATTTAGCCTAGCTCGTCCTCCTTCCTGCACAGCAAGCTCACAAACCCCTAAAACGCATATATAAGCTCTAGTTAAGAAAGGGAATGCTTTTCCAAGACTTGTGTACCATTTGATGTAGTTCTTGACCAATTACTTGTCTGCATATTTTCGTATCATTCCCTCATCCTGTTTTCCAGAATAACCATTTTTATCAAGGTCTTTCAAATGGAAATTACCCTGTTTTTATTGTGCAAACTGATGAACAAATCGGGCCAAGAAATGCACAGAAAATCGATGTTCAATTTAAGTATATTTATTATCCTTTGCACGTTGCAGATTTTTCCATTTTAAGCGCTTCATTTGTTCTATATAAGTATTTTGATGTTATATTTTTAGGCTTTGGCATCAGTACGTGGGACTCCATTAAAGACCAAGACATTAAAATGTTGTGAACCCATTCATTGTCCATCGGTGCATTGTCACACGATATCTTTAAGTTAATCAAACCATAAATTTACTCTATAGCTTTTGAATCATCACTTTTAAAGTTTGTTCCAACAAATGCATTCAGCATTGTTTTCTTTAAAACAACAGCTTATTTCCCGGATTTTTATTGCGGCTAATATAAGTACATATTTAACAAGCATTTTTTTCAAAAGTAAGTTTGTTAAATTGGAGAAATTGGAGACTAATCAATAACTTCTCATTAATATTAATTTACATAAAACTTAATTTTCTAGGTGCTCCAGCAGATGATCGACAAGGCGATTGTGTGTTCTCCTACAAGGATCTCATTAAGAGAGCCGAGGATAACATGCCCTCCGATGATTATAGATATCTTAGTAAGTATGATTCGATGCATTATATTACCCGTATTACTAGGTTAAAAAATAACTCCCCCACTAAAAAAAAAACACAAACGAAAAACAAAAAAACAAAAAAAAAATAACAACAGAAAAAAAAACAAAAACAAAAAAACAATACCAAAATTTCATTACAATACCCAAAAGGAAACAATGCCTAAAATTCCTTACAATACCCAAAGTATGGAAACAATATTAAAGAAAGGAAACAAAACAAAGTATGAAATCGAACCCCAAAGTAAGGAAACAATGCCCAAAGTAAGGGAACAATGCCCAAAGTAAGGAAACAATACCCAAAGTAAGGAAATAAACCCAGAAGTAATAATAATTGTCATAACCAGCTATCATATACAAGTTATTATTATCAATATCTCAACCATTTTGTACAAGGTTGTATTTGTATAACTGACTCGGCCTGCTTTGTGTTTCGGGAGCATCCGTTGCATAGTGCCAGTTGCGGTTACTGACATTTGATGACTTGCCACTCATCGCTTTGGGTTTGAATCCTGTCGGAGACTTTAGATTCTTTTCATTTGAATAAGCTATCCAATATCATTTTGCTCACGGATGGTCAGTGGCAAATGTCAGGTGCCCGTTCGTACCTGAAATAATGCACGGTCAGGCAACTAAGGCATTCTCTTATCAGTAAAGCTAGAAATTCGCCGATATGATTTAATACAGTATCGATGTGATTTAAAACATTACTAAGCAAAAACTAAAGTTTTATCTATTAAGAAAATTCACGTTACTTCCTAGTTTCTGATATAGATGATATATTTTAAGTTATTTGCCTTTAATATTTATCATTTATTTTACGATTCATTCGTTTGCTGTTTACATGAATATTTTTTTACAACAACTGTAAAATGTGTCGATTTTGTTTCACTATACGACTTTTAACATTGCCAGTTTTGCCGTAAGCCTCTTTTGCAATGAAAGTTAACAATCCGATGACAGTAAATTACACTTTGGGTAGCAATACCGGTTAGCAATACTCTTGTATTCTAACTAGCATTTGTATCTCATGAACATTTGTAACGCCAAAAATCAAGGGGCGGGGGGGGGGGGTCGGACTCCAAAAATCAAGGGGCGGGGGTGAACCCCATATATGCGGAACTTCACATATGTTTAACCAATGCTCAATTTTGAGATCCATATGGGGTTCATCCCCTGTGAAAGTATAACTGCAAGAGTTATTAAACTTGCTAAGAATAGCCGTCAACATGAGAATTAATTTACACATCTGGCATTAATGACGCATAACCATTATCTAAAAGAATATTATAATACTCATGCCCTTTCTAAAAAAGGAACACATTATTCGTTTCTAGGGCACATAATGACGAGTAATGTGTATATAAAATCGTGCCTTCTAATAAATCTTCAAAAGGCAACAGTGAGCATTTCAGAGCAATTAATCCTTACCCTTTTGGAACAGAAAAAGATTAACATTTGCCGACAGTATAGAGGCGGACCAGCCTGCACGTCCGTGCAGTCTGACCAGGCTTAATACTATTGTTAGCTCTTTTTGTGTCGCCTCTACGGAGTAGTGGCGACATATAGGGATCACTTCTCCGTCGTCTGTCTGTCCGCACTCACAGGAGAGTAATTATGTGGCTAGAGGGACAATAGGAAACTGTTCTTTCTCTTTGATGTCGTTCATTCCGTAATGCTTTTATGTGGCTTTTTTCTTTTGTGTGGCTAAAAAGAACAATAGAGAGAACAATAGAGTAGCCACATAATTACTGTCCTGTGAGAACATCCGTCTGTCTGTCCGTTACAAAACTTGTCCGGACTACTCCTCATAAACTACTGGTGCAATTTCATCCAAACTTTACAGGAATTATCAGTACCAAGTCTAGTTGTGCACTGTCCGTCTGTCTGTCCGTCTGTCACAAAACTTGTCCCAATATGAAATTGGCCACCATGAGGCGTCACATGTGATCACTGATCGCTCTTGTTTATTGTACTGAAATCTCATAAACTTTAAATGGACTGCTCCATATTCAAAGCAGGGTTAATTCATTGGTTTAATTGATAACTGTATTTGTGTTTTATAAATTAGGTATGGAGCGTTCCTGGTTAGCGTTGATGATAACGGCAGCGGGTCTTCAGTTTTTCACAATATTGGCATTGATATGTGGATTGTGGCCCGGGGACTGTCAGAGTGTCAAACGATCCACCCTGTATCTCGTTGCATCTATAATGTGCTTATTATCATGTAAGTAAATTAAATTTTCTCACAATTTGTGTGTCATCATTATATTCGCCGGAACATTCCGCCATTTTCAATGTTTTATAAAATCCGAAAGGAATAGTTAAACATAAGATCCGAAATGAATTGTTTTATACTCTGTGATAGCTCTACAGAAATTGTTTTATACTATATGATAGCTCTACATATAAACTCAAACAAAAAAGCCATGAGTATATCTATATCGTGCATATAACACTACACAAGTCCAGTAGGTGGAGCTTAACTGTGTTGTTTGTAATGAATGACATCAATACTATGACCAAGAGCAACAATCTTGTAATCTCAACGGTTTCTATACGACGTAGGTCTTAGGAACCGAAAGCGAAGGAGTTGATTGAATACTTCTTGTGCAAAGGGCAATAAGATTATTCTTACTCTTATTCTAGGACTTATTCATAACTTGAAACAGGAAAACATTAAGCTTCTTGATTGGCGGTGGCGTATGCCTATTTTATGACGTCTTTAGTTTATATCGGCTTTCTTTCCCTGATATACTTTCTCATTGATCAACAATACATGTACTTCTAATTTTGATAAACAAAATTAAATCAAATGAATTCAGTAATTACGTTCACGTAAGTGTTTCGTATGAACATGTTCATTTTACACTTTCAGCAATGGCGGCAATAGCAAGTGGCATCTGCTTTATAGCGCTACGTGACCTTGACCACACGACCCGGAACGCATACCCCACAGCTGTGGACACCTGGTATGAGTGGTCATTTATTCTAGCATGGGTTGGTACAGGACTTTGCCTCATTGAGGGATTCATGTTCCTAGGATTGCTTAGAATGGATTATGACGATGTTGCAGAATCCGGCCGATACCAGACAATGTAAAAATAGTAACAGGATAATCTATAAATAGTAACGGATGTTATTATAGCATAGGGATGTTTACTTATTATAATGTGATATGAAAAGGTCAGTTGACACAAAAATAAGGTTATGAACCTGGCTTTGACGTCATATAGTAAAACAGTTAACTTTTTTCCTTTTTTTTCAAGCAATATGACATTTTTTGTACATGTATATAAAATGCGATATTAAAACTTTCATATCATCAATTTTAAGTGTAATTAGGATTTGTTTGATGTAGACTTTTCATTTTCACGCTAATAAGCAGACGTAACAGCCGCCTATTTGAACAAATCGGCGGTAGAAATCAAAATACCAAACTGGGACAGTGTTTGATTTTTACTTGTCTCCAAATATGTACGACGCTTTAAAACTGTCGCAAGCTGTTAGTTTTTTAACATAGAAAAACAGCGTAAGTTTTTATAATCAAATATAAATGTCAAAATACATTCCATTTATCATGAATTTGTTAAGTGTTCAGCGTCGGGAACGTCTATTTTATTTTATATGCGATATATTTGTTGCGGGGTTTTAAATGTTTGTAGTGTATTTCCCAAAGAAATTGAACCGTTACGAATGCTTTATCACAATTATTATTGTATGTCAAACACGTGCAAATACAATCACAGGAAATAAATATCAAAAGCATTATGTATCATCGGAGGACGAGCAAAACAATATTTTCACTTAACATAAATCACAGCTACACGTAGATCTATAGATACTAAATTTATAATGATGCAAATAACCCTACTTTTGAACAACATTTTAGTTAATAATATTATAATCAGGTGTTACGACCAACTTGCAAAGGAAAGCTTCATCCTTTGTGAAAACTTACGTCTATATATTATAATAGTCAAAGTTCCTGTTGTTGTAATTAGCATCTTGAACTTAGATATCAGCTACAAAAGAAGAAAATGTGTATATATCAAACTTTGCTATATATAGACCATTCATCTTCACAAAAGAAAGTCCTATTGCTACTGTAAAACAGCTTGTATCAATCTTAATATAAAAAACTCAACTTTTTAAAAGAGGAAATTTATTTACACTCAGGTTAATTGACCATTGAGATATCAAACGTTTTTTGTTTAATAAATAGGAAAACAGGATTGACTGGACCTTTAACTGTCACTAAAAAGTCAAAATGACCAAATTTTTTGTAAAACGATTAGATGTAGTAATACAGGAAAAAACAATGTTTTCCATAGTCCTCAAAAAGAGAAAAAAATGTACGGATATGTAACTGACATGCATAGATAGTCATTACTTTTGTAAAAGAGCCAAACAATGACAAGTATGTTTTACACATTGTTTGTTCCAGATAAATGTCTATTTTTGTTGTTGCTTTAACAGTTTATGAATACTCATATATTATATTTGGAATTAAATGTCCACCCTAGAGAAATTAGAGAAATATATAAGATATGTGTTATTTGTTGTAAACTTATTGTAGATATTTTTTCTATACATTTATCGAAAGATTAAAATGTTTGTAAAATATGTATATAGTTGTTGTTTTTCTATTATGAACCGTTTTTGTGATATAATATTATATAATATATACCACAGGAACTTGAAATTTTATCAATATTAATGATAATATCCAAAATATACCCACTATACAGTATAAATAAACTTTATACTGTATAGGGGGTATTTTTTGGATATTGTCATTAATATTGATAGAATTTCAAGTTCCTGTGTTTATTTATACTGTATAGGGGGTATATTTTGGATATTATCATTAATATTGATAGAATTTCAAGTTCCTGTGATATATACATGCAAAGTCCTAAGTGAACAACTTGATTACATGTAAATAATTGAGCCACGCAGTCTGATCAGGATCCATGCTGTTCGCTTACAAACCCTATAACATGTAGAGAAACTGACAGCGAACAGCATGGATCCTGTGATCAGCAGGCTGATCTGGATCCATGCTGGTCGCAAACGCACTATATGTTGGTTTTGTCATGGCGCGGCTCAAAATAAATTAATGACAATGATAGTTTGTCTTAGCTTGACCGCATAGCTAAAACGGTTAGAGCGTGAGGTTTGTTATGTTCGATTCCCGGAATGACCTACTAAAATAGTATTTCGGATGAGACTTAAATCGTTGTTCCGTGTATGAGTTCCTAAACACTTGGTACATAAAGAACCAGGAGAAACTTCTGGCGTTTTTCTGTATCTTGCACTATCCTCGATAATCTGAAATGACTAATACTCTTCTTAAAGACTCGCACATAAACCTCAAATACACCCAAACATACATGTATGCTCACTTTTTTGCTGTCGAGTTCAGCTAAAGTGGCTTGAAAATATGGACTATTATAATGGTCATTGGCCAATAATAATGATAATGAAAAGTTTTAGGATACTGCCTAAAACATAAAGACTGCCCCACTCTTATTAACGATAGTCACAGAGGTGTTGATAGTTTTCACATATAAACTACACATTTGCAATAATTGCATTTAAAGTATGACCCATCAAAATACGATGACCAGACGGGGTATTTCAATTTTTGTCGAGCCCGCTTGCGATGAGCTCGACTTAGTCGTCCTTTTTTGGCATATAGTTCGGTGTATGTGCGTCAGTCCGTCCGGATTTGTCCGGTCTTTATCTTGCTCATTATTTGAAGGATTATATAATAATTTGGTACAAATGTTCAGAATGATTGGGTGGTGTGTCACACACAAAACCCTGGTCCGCCGCTAAAAGGTCAAGGTCACAATTGGAGTTCAGCGCAAAACCCGTGTCCTGAGTTTAACCACATGCATGGAGCGATTTTAATATAACTCGGGACAAATATCCCCCATAGTGAGACGGAGTGTTGCGCCAAAGATTAAAGTGTTTGTTGCAAAGCTCAAGGTCACATTTAGGGGTCAAAGGTCAAATAAAACATTCATTTGCGAGTTTAACTTCTATACTCATGATGGATTTAAATATAACTTCGCAGAACTGCTCTCCATGTGTGGAGTGAAGTTGTCTCGCGCAAAATGACAGCCAAGGTCACAAAAGGTCAAAGGTCAAATAAAAAATGTTAAAATTCGTTTGTTGGCGCAGTATCTTACTTATGCTTTAAAGTATAATGCTAAGTGGTGTCGAGTCCGCTTGTGGTGATGTTAACTTAGCCGCCACTTTTCACTTTTGGTGGTTTGGTGTGCGTCCGACTAGATTTGTCTGTTCTCTAACTCATTCTTTGAAGGATTACAAAATAGTTTGATACAAATGTTCACCATGATGGGGTGGTGTACGTGTCACACGCAAAACCCAGGTTCCCCGCTCAAAGGTCAAGGTCACATTGGGGGGGGGGGGGGCGCTAGGTGCAAAATCCGTGTCCTGAGCGTAACTTCTACATGCATGGAGCGATTTTAATATGTTCTCCATAGTGAGACAGAGGGTCGCACGAAAGATTTATGTGTTTTTTTGCACAGGTCAAGATCTTACTTCAGATTCGAAGGTAAAATAACAAATTAAAACATTCATTTGTGAGTATTACTTCTATATTAGTATATACATGGGTGGTTTTTAATATATCTCGGGACAAATATTTTCCAAAGTGAGGCGGAGTGTCGCGCCAATGATTCAGGTGTGGTAAAGGTAAAGTTCACATTTAGGGGTCAAAGAACAAAATAAAACATTCATTTGCGAGTATTTATGCGATTTTAATATGTTCTCCATAGTGAGATAGAGTGTCGCGCGAAAGATTTAGGTGTCTGTTGCAAAGGTCAAGATCTTACTTCAGGGGCAAAGGTAAAATAGCAAGTTAAAATATTCAAATATTCGTTTGTGAGTATAACTTCTATATACATGGATGGCTTTAAACATAATTTAGCACCACTGCTCCCCATGGTGAGTTGAGTTGTCTTGCGCAAAATGAAGGTCAGGGTCACAAGAGATCAAAGGTCAAATAAAAATATCAAATTTTGTTTGTCCGCACTGTATTTTTCTTATGCTTTGAAGTATTATGCTTAGTGGTCAGAGGATTTTTGTCGAGCCCGCTTGCGCTGAGCTCGGCATAGTTGTTAAAATGGCTGTTTGTGCGTGTATGGGTTCAAACCTGTCCATGCCATAACTTCTTCGTGCATGGAGGAATTTTCAAATAACATGAATTTAGTTTTTTGGACACGAATGTTCATCATGAGACTTCATGTCATGCACCAGGTCAAAGGTCAAGGTCATCTAAGCTGAATTTGCCTTGGGTATAAAGAGGCTGTGTTGCGCACATCTATGTAAAATCATTCTCCTTGATCTGAAGCTTATAGGTTCATGTTTGAATTAAGACGTGTGGGTTCGACATTCTGCCCGTGGGCATGTCTTAAAGTCTACAACAAACCATACTGAGGTGACACAAGATGGAAATTGATGTAACAGTTGTTTATAGAGGCTCTATGTTGTTGTTGATCTGAATGTTTGTATTTGTAATTGTATGATAGCTATAATAAGTTGGCACAATTCCAGATTGTGTTTCACATGTATGTGACCAATCAGTGTTTGCTGAATTGTAGTGGGGTTGTTTTAAGTTGATTGACGTCATCTGTTTGAGCCCATTAGTAGAAACTGGTGCAATAAATTCACCAGTAATAATTGTTTGTGAAGTTGGTAATTTTTTAAGAATCAAACCGAGCTGTTTACAGAAATAATGCAGTTGTAGTTGGGCATTTTTATAAAATGCAATATAGATGGAGATGTTATTTGAACACCAACACATTCAATATTTACCATAGAAGTATCAATGCAATACGCATAAAGTCAAAGTCCTTGTGGACAAAGATGCCAACAGCTCCTCTTGGTTGTTTTGATGTGTTGGCTTATGGGTGAACAGAGCTTTGTATCGCGTATTTGGTGGTTGAACTATTTCATTAGCACCTATCCATGTTTCCTGAAAGGCTATAATATCAGCCTGGTTGAAAAAGTAATTGTTTTTAATGTCATAAAAACAAAGGAAATACCCTTCACAGTTGTGACTTGCTATAAGAAAATGATGTGAATCAGACACTATTAATTTTGTGATGAGGCACTGTACCAATGATCAAGTATTTCATCGGCTTTAGCCATTTTGTCCAGTTGTTTGTGGCTGACAGTCTAACTTCATGATTAATATATGTCTTGTCCGACGAAAAAAAATCATGTAAGTGAAGTATTTGCATTTTTTATCCTTCAGTAATTTTAAACCGTTGCAACGTTTTATTTTGTACATATTGACTTAAATTATACACACACCCGTTAACTGGTTGCAAGAAGCTCAGTTGGTTGCGGGTAGCACAATTGTGCGATTGGTAAGATTTTTATCCTTCAATCGATTACAGCACAATATACCAAAGATAACTCATGATTGTCTATAACAAGAGAGTCATGGTGGCCCTAATATCGCTCATCTGAATATAGATACTCTTAATGACAAGTGATATTGTAAATTTTAGATGAAAAGCAGATATAAAATCTAACTCTTAAACCGATTCATATTTGTATCTGAAATAGTGCACATGTAAAAACATTCCTGGTTGCTATTTCTCAGGGAATACAATAGTTTCCAAAGTCACTGGTTGCTGTACAAAATCAATGGTTTCCTTGGAAGCCAGTGTCTGCTATGAAATTCAATGGTAGATTCACTCATTGCTATGTAAAGTTAATGTTTGCTATGGAAGTAAATGGCTGCCATGAACTCACTGGTTGTTATGGAAGTCAATGTTTGTTATGGAAAGCAAACAGTTGTTATGGAAGTCACTAATTGCTAAAGGAAGTCAATGTTTGCTGTGGAAGTCAATGGTTGCTGTAAAAAAGTCATCAATTGCTATGGAAGTCTATGGTTGCTATGGAAAGTCAATGGTTGCTATGGGAAAAACCCTCGTTGTTATGGAAAGTCTCTGGTTGCTATGAAGACATTGCTTGCTAAAGAAGTCTATGGTTGCTATGGAAAGCCACCGGTTGCTATGAAAATATATGGTTGATATGGAAAGTCAGTGGTTGTTACGGAAGTCAATGGTTGCTATAGAAAGTCATTTGTTGATAAGGAAAATGACTACTTGTTATGGAAAGTCATCTATTGCTTAAGAAATCTATGGTTGCTATGGAAAGTAAATGGTTGCTATGGAAAGGCATTGGTTGCTCTGGAAATTTATGGTTGCTATGGAAAGTCAATGGTTGAAATGGCGGTCAATGGTACCTATGGCAAGTCACTGGTTCTATGAAGTCACTGGTTGCTATGGAAGTCAATGTTTGTTATGGAAAGCAAACAGTTGCTATGGGAGTCGTCCATTGCTATGGAAAATCAATCGTTGCAATGGGAGTCACTGATTGCTATCTGAAGTCAATGGTTGCTGCAGGAAGTCATCGGTTGCTATGGAAGTCTATGGTTGCTATGGGAAGTCAGTGGTTGCTATGGAAAGTCATTGATTGCTATGGAAATTCACTGGCTGCTATGAAGTCATTGATTGCTAAAGAAGTCTTTATTTGCTTTGGAAAGTGACTAGTTGCTATGGGAAGTAAATGGTTTCAATGGGAAGGCATTAGTTGCTATGGAAAGTCCAAGGTTGCAATTGGAGTTAACAGTTAGTGAGTTACTATGAAAAGTCGCATCATTGGTTCTATGGGCAAAATTTGTCTTGAGAGCTATAATTTCAACAACTCTTGTAGAGGTCCACCAGACAATGTTTCATGCTAAATATCTTGCAGTTTTCAAGAAGATTTGTCAAGTATTTACTATACATTGAAAAAATTTGTACAGGTCAACTACATAATGTTTAATGTCAAAAAATAAGCTTTAGCTCTTGTAGTTTAAGAGAAGATTAAAAAAAAAAATACCATGTTTATATCAGGATAATCTATGTTCACCCAAGGGCAGGGCTAATTTTGACCCATGGTTTTTAAATTGAATTGGCCTACCAGAAAATGTTTCATATCAAATATGTAAGCTAAAGCCACTACAGTATAATAGAAGAAAATAATTTTTGTTTTTTTTTTCTATATAAATATGGTTTTTAAATTGAATTGGCCTACCACAAAATGTTTCATATCAAATATCTAAGCTAAAGCCACTATAGTATAATACATGTAGAAGAAAATAATTTTTGTTTTTTTTCTATATAAAAAGGAAAATATATGACTGTCAATTTTGACCAAAGGACTATAATATGAACAATTTTTTAGAGGTTCAATAGACGCATTTCATACCAAAGCTAAAGCCTTTGTAGTTTTGAAGAAGTATTAACTATATAAGGAAAATCAATGACACCCTGGGACAGGGCCAATTTTGACCCTAGGGCTATAATTTGAACAATTTTTGTAGAGTTTCATTAGATGATCCTACACACAAAATATCTAAGCCCCTCACAAGTATCTAGTTCAATACAAATAAATGGTGCTTATTTAAAGCTACATGCCTCCAGATGAGTCAAAATATTTCAATAAAATAAAAACTTGAGAAAAATGTACTAAAATGTAAGAAATTGTAGAAAGTTTCAAGATTCAAGTAATATTTTACATATTATGTGTGATTATTGACTGATTTTTCAGTATTTACAATAAAATTTCGACTGTATTACTAACGCAGTTAAGGCTATTTATGCATATTTTTAACACTTTTTGGTAATTTACATGTTTTGTAAGTGCCATTGATAATGTGTAAATTGCTTTCTTTTGGTTACTTCACAATAATACACACTGAATGTTCATGAAAATTAGCATGAATCTGAAGGCGTGCTGCTTTAAATGAGAAGCTTTATGCAAAATATTTCAAAATCTACCAAGCTGTATTTCCTATGAAGTTTTAATGTTATTCCCTCTGAAACTTACCACCATAAACTGATTATAATTTTCAATTAAATATTCAAGGGCAGCTAAATGCAACAACTCAACATCACTTTAACCAGCTTTACTTTATTAACTCCCTTTAATCATAAAACTGCAGATGACATTCCAGAAGCAAAAACTGCACATGTTTTATCTGTCAATTTGAACTGTGATACTTTAGTTGTGGATGTCTCTCTGGCTGCTGTATTATACCACCTCACCTCCAACTGTAAAAGAAATATAACAAAGATGACTTTTATTAAAGTAATTTCCAAAACATAATGATACAGAAATATTTCAAAACAATACAGCCAAGAATACAAGCATATATAAATCCCATGTCTTGTTGAATTTCTTAAATAATTTTGTTCATTCGAATTTTCTTTTAAGGGAGGAATCTAGATGAAATTAAACCAGAGTCAGCTAATAATACAGAGCTTGGTCAAACTGCATGAATGTGGAGGCTGGCTTAGCTCTACACTGGTGGCAAAGGCTATTCACTTTTATGTTCAGCAGGTTATTTTATGATTACCTACCTGTTAATAGATGCATATTAACATATACATTGAGAGGCATTCATAAAATATTTAAATGAAAAAAAGGCTAACTTTCAGTCCTTTGTCTAATATTACAAATGTAAAGTACAAGGAAAAGGTAAATACTTAATGGAAAAAATAAAGACATTGTGCTTACACAGTACACTATGCATACATTGTAGGTTAGTGTTTGTTATACTTATAGTCAGTATCAATGAAATTAACAGGGTTCCCGCTGTCGCTCGCCAATGGCGCCAAATGCGACAAAATATTAATTCTGGCGCATAAAATCTTTATTTTATATCTGAATGTAAGTAAAGTGCTGAAGTGTCAATTTACATGTAAACCCTATTAAAATAAACAATATTTTTCATTGTTAAAAATATTCTCATTGATTTTTAGATGACGTCAATTTATAGTAATGTTGTTTTTTATTTATTTTGTACCTGTAGATCACCAGTTTGTTGGGTAGAAGCTGTGAAAGATCTTGGCTCAGTCCAGCCTGTGAGAAGAACTGCTATACTGGCAAAACGGTGGAAAACATGACCTCCCATGACTAATTTAACATGATGTTTTTGATTACATTTATGCTGTCATGTGTATTTATTTAAATGGAATTTGAAAACCACATAATATGTCTATATTTTAGATAATAAACATGTGCAGCTGTAATAAAATGAAATATTATAAATATGTGTTTGTAATCATAATGATATATAACAGCCAGCATATCTTAGCAAAGATAGGCATGTCTCCCTTGCAGAATTATTGGCTCCAATTTTGGAGCCATTGGCTCCAACTTTTTCTGATTGGCGAATTTGGTGGCGCAAACTAATTTTGACCCAGAGGGAACCCTGATTAATCTGTCTGATAGGGCACATGGTACGGTCCGCCCTGTCCGTAATTCTGTAATACTTCTATCATTATCAATGATTGACTGCCAAGGGTTAATTGTTCAATTATATCAAACATTGATGATGACTTTTATACTGATGAATTTTAACAGCTTACAACAGTTTAGTGGTTTTAAACAATAGATTTTATCTGTTCATTACTTGTACAGTCAAAAAGTCAGAGTGATTAAAAGATGAAGAAGTAAAAGAGTTTTTACCTGTCCATGTACATCCTTACAATAACCAGTTTCTAAACCTTTCACTTCCAGACTCATATTTACAGTATGTTGAATAAACTTCTTTAAGTGATCTGCATCCTCATCTTGTTCACCCAAGTCATTATTGACACCAAACACAAAACTACCTTCAATATCTTTTGTAACATAGTTATTTAGGTAATGTACCAGTGCCATTACATCCTCAGCATGTACACCTATATCTACAAGCATCGACAAATTGTCAATAATAAATACAACATTTTTGTCAGAGTCAGAGGTAAACTTGTTAATGACTTGCTTAATAATCTTATATAATCCTTTCACATCCATTTTCCCATTATTCTGCATACAAGAAGACCATGGGTTGTCTCCCTTGAGGCTCTCACTGTTTACTGCATGTGCTAATCCTTTCAAACCATCAATGAACAAGAAATTATTTAAATCCCTTTCTTTGGTTAAGTTATTTCCAATCTTATTGCCGACACTGTTAAAATGGTTAAAAGACTGACAAAAGCTGAGAAACACTACAGAGCATTTTTCTTTCAAGAAGTATGACAAAAAGTGATGAAATAAGAAAGAACTGTCAGCATTCGTTTCGATAATTCCGATTGAGTATTTTGATGTCATGCACTCAGACGGACGGTATACGATGTTCTTAATGTCTGTAAACATTCTGATTAGTTTCAGATTGCTATTTTGCCCTTAATTAACCAAAGATTTATAATTTAACTTTCTTGCATGTTTTTATTTACAAAATTTTCGGAACCGGAAGTCAAGAGGGATTAAATTGCGGAAAGATTTTTCTTTTCCGGAAAGTATCCTTTTGAACGTTTTCTATAAACCGATAGTCTGGTTCCCAGCTTCTATTGTAAACAAATAGACAAAGGACAGGTAATCCAGACTGCTCTTAAATGATTTTCCAAACAAATAAATTGTCAAATTTCCTTTTTCTAAAATTCCTGTGAAAATACATAGCAGGTCAAACAAACAGTAGCAACAGTTCAAAAAATTATTTATTTGAGAATGTGGGAAAATGTGGCACTATACAGTATGTCATCTCCAAAATTGTCTCTCGCGTGAATATATATTTATTTTATTTTCTTTAACATCTTTATTTGATCTTTGATCTCATTATTATTGTGATTTATATGTCATGTAACACACCCTTGATTGGATATGAAAGCTATTTTATTCTATTCTATTCTATTCATTAAATTAAAAACAACCACCTTAATATTATATACCTTATTGAACTGAATTTCCTAATCCCCCAGACCTGTATGACTATGAGCTATCTATGGCTTTGTCGATTGTGTATTGTGATGTTGATGAACGAATAACACTGCTTCTTCTTCTTCTTCTTATTTTCTTCTTCTACTTCTTCTTCAACTTCTTCAACTTCTTCTGCTTCTTCTTCTCCTTCTTCTTCTTGTTCTTCTTTTTCTATGAATTCAGCACCACCTTACGTATTAATTCTTACTTCCCTTAAAACTCTAAGCAGGGTATTTAAATATAAATTACAGCAAACTATGGTTTTAAGTAAAATGTTATAATCGATCCCTGAATAAAAATCTACAAATAAAATGAAGGTTTCGGATGCATTTTCACACATTTTAAAAGTCACGTTTTTACAATTTCCTTGAAATTTCAGAGTTCACCACATGCAAGAGTGTTAAATGCTAGTCTTTTAAATGATAGCTTCTGGGTCAATTTCGGGTGATTGGTCTCAAAAAGTAGGCGTTAATAAATAAAGGAGTCGTATTTTTTTATCATTAGATCTTTTATCTTAAATCAATGTATATTTTTAAAATAAACGGTGACCTTTGATATTAGTTAAGTAATATTGAAAGTTCTATGTAAGAATATCAAATTACATGTTTTAGGCTTTCGGATCTCAGTTATTTAATGCTGACCAAAAATATTAGATACATGTATGTATAAGTAACTAGTCCAACTAATTGTACTGCGCGTCCAGATATTGAGCTATTTTGTGTACGGGCAACATCTCCCCTCTGGAAGCTAGCAAGATTCTGAGCCAGAACAAAATATTTCAGAATCTAGCTTTGACACATCAAAATATTTTGACTAACTATATGTAACAAATAAATTGTAAAGAAATAAACAATTTACACGAGTATTCTTTAGTCTTTATAAGTTTATATAGTTAGGCCTATTGATCTAGAAACGCTTGTGAATATTATATTTATTTGTGTAAAAAGTTGGCTAAAGCAGTAAATTTATCGGAATAAATTATTTAATATGATAGTTTGTGGGAAGGGCTTTGCTATTGTTGAACATAATAACTTGTAGCCCGACCACTATATTTCTTTGAGAATATTTGTTTTTGGATTATTCATGTGACCTTGTAAACATGTATTTATGGAATACTATAATTAATTCTCACTTAGTACACATCATATAGACAAACTGCTGAGAGTTAGTTATTAAACTCTTTCAGAATTATAGAGATGATATCTCAAGATAAAGTGTTCCTTGGTCTTTTTGTATGTCCGTCTTCCCAAATTTGATAAGAAAATGAAATCTGCGAGAAAACGATGTGTTTCGATACAAAAATAATTACAAAGTTACCTCCCCTTTAGATGGTATGTCCATTAATTTGGAGAATATTCGGATGATTCGGTCCTTTTCGTCTTCGGGCTCGAAATTTGCACACGACACTTAGTTTACTCAAAAATGGCCACCGCCGGAAAGGTAAGGACAGAAATCATTACTTTACACTGGATGTGTTGATTGTCATGCACATGTTCAGTGCTTGCATGATTGAGAAACATTTTATTTGTATATGGTCAACTGCAGGCACATGTGCTTCTCTTCTTAATCGAGAAAAACTTGCGTCCTAATATTCGACCCCGACCATAATAATCGCGGATACTCGCCCCGGTCCATGTAAAAATGGTCATAATGTGCTACATTTGTGTTTGAAGTTAAATTATTTTTTTTTAATATATTGCAATTTTGTTTGAATTACTTTATTTGTCATTTATTTCAGTAACTCTCGCTTTATTTGTTTGACAGTTTTATCATTTGGTCAAGTCGGCCCCGGTCAAGTAAGATCCTGCCCCTTGTGTTAACTCTAATATGAAAAAGGCAAAGCCTCAAAGCGAGCTCGATGTACTTTTTACGTGAAATAGTATGAAATAATCGCTCATTTTTATTTCAAATGCAGTGACGAGTGCGTGTGACGTCACACGTACTGTGTTAAATATGGCCTGTCGTGAAATGAATAAAGAGTTTTGAAAACGTTTATAAATCTTTGTTTATTTTATTTCACTCTATAATTTTTCAAGCGAAATAAAGATTATTTAAAGTGAAATAAATGTAAAACTTAAAACGTTTGCGACATTAAAATAGCGTACTTGATTTGTTTGTTTTGCACGTGCTGTTTGGCGCTACATTGTGACGTCACGTAAACAATACTTTAAACGTCTGTACAGCGTTAACGACTGAATAAAAGATATTGGTGTTCGGATTCGTTATCTTAGTTAGACCATTTTCTTTCATTCTAGATAGTTTTCACAACAAAATTTGACAAAAAATTGTTTTTATTTATCAGATTTTTCAAACAAAATGGCGCCTTTGATTTTCATTTTTTATACACAGCTTCCGTTATTCTGGTTCCCTGTCCAATTATGGTTCCCATAGACGTGCGCGGGTGACCAGTCTACACATCTGTTTTCAGTCAGAATTCCTCAGTTTTTATCGTTATCTTTAAATTCGAAAGGTTGCGATGTGTCCAATTCGTTACTTTGGACGAAAGTTTTCAAAACCATCACTTAGCAGGTACTCGCGTTACCGTAAAGCTCGCTTTGCGAGCAGGCCCTTCGGACCAGCTCATCGAGCTCACTATCAAAAATACTTAAATATTTTAACACGAATTGGATATCTGTTACAACGATGACACTGGTTTTCAAACATTTTTTACATATATGAACAAAAAATCTGTATACCACCAAGTCTCAATAAAGATTGCAGACAAAACTTGAATAATTTGGTTGAGTTATGGCCCCTTGAATGAAAAAGGTGTTTATTTCTTGTGTTGCCAGCTACACAGACACTTGTCTGGACTACCTTTCAGAAACTTCTGGTGCAATTTCATCTAAACTATACAGGAATGATCAATTCCAAGGCTACTTGTGCATATCATTGATCAGTGTTTTTGGTTTTGAGTTAGTGCCCTTTAATGATTTTATTTTTAAAATTTGTTAGAACTACTTCTCTTATAATAAACTACTTGTGCATTTTCAATGAAACTTTACAGCATTGATCTGTAGCTCAAGTACTTCAACATAATACACAGGTTTTCTGCTTGCCGAGTTATGGCCCTTGAATATAAAACATGTTATGCCCTGTAAATTTTTGTGTCTCATGCTACCAGTGATTTTTTTCCAATTTTCAAAAGAACCTGTGGCTTTCTGAGGGGGGAAATATAGCGTGATAATTGAGAAAAAGGGGAACATCGGAAATCAAATTCCAAAAACTGAGAATGGAATTTACCCACACATTTTGTAAAATTTTCATTTTTAATTAAATTTAACATCCATTTTACATAGCAAAGGCTATCTATAGGGACAGCTTTCTGTCTTCTAGCTGATGCAAGTTAAATACTGTAAGTCATAGATCTGGTGAAAAATTGTGGGGGGCAATTTAGGGGAAAATATTAGCATTTATAGGGGAAAATATACCTATTTTGGGCTAGGGGAAACAGCCTTTATTCGGCTGTAAAATACAGGGAAAAAAATCACTGGCTGCATATCTACACATCTACAAGTGATTAAATTTCAGTCCCTTTCTTAAAAAATGTTTAAAAATGAAAAAAGTTCTTAAAAGTCCGTAAATTTGATAACTCTCAAGTTCTTAAAAAGTGCTTAATTTTGTGCTGCAAATTTGCTTGAAAATAATTGAATAACATAAAATGGGTAAAAATCAGTTAATAAAAAAAAAAGAACAATCCAATTTATTATCAAATTCAATGAAATGTTTGGCCAACCATAACAGGAAGGGGACAGATTGCGGTTGATTCCAAAGGGTTTAGGGTACGAATATACTATTGCATCCCTTTAAAATGTCAACCTAAAAATGTGTACTCAACAAAAATGGCTAATAAACTATCTTTTGGTTGAAGAAAAGTTACCTTATCATTGGTTGCAAATGATATATGTGCAACAATTTGAGCTTGAAAAATGGGAAAAAGTGCTTTAAAAGTGTTTGAATTTAGGCACTGGCCCGCTGTCTGTATGAACCCTTGACTATTTTAATTGGCATTTTTCCCAATTCTACAGGTGTGTGTGTGATTCTTTGATGGCAAGGGTCTGTCAACACAAGCTCTGATTATTTAGATTTTATTTAGATTTTATGTATGTTCAAATAATATCAAAACTATATAAATTATAGTTTTGATATTATTTGATTTTATAGTTTATCACATAAACCGTGGCGCAGGAGTGTAATAAAGCCATTTAATAAAAACGATATTACACTAGACGATATTACACTAGTGTAATAACACTTTGACGTCACGTCATTTGCACTATAAACATAGCGTTAAAGCGCGCTAATGTTAGCGTTACACTATAGGCGCGTCAAAGAAAAGTGACTCTTGTTTACAGTTTACCGTTTTTATTTTATATATGTGATAAATAGAATATTATATTCGTGTAGATTCAATACTAAATTTATTGAACTCGTTGAATAAAACAATATTATGCTCGCCAGAGGCTCACATAATATGATTTTATTCAACTCTTTCAATAAATTTAGTATTAAACCTACACTCATTCAATATCCTCTATGTATTTGTATATATTTATTGCATAGGAAGTTGATTACAAAACTTGTATATTTACAGCCTATTACCTGTAAAGCTGCTGTTGCTTGGGAACCAAAGAAGCCACTTTCTATTGAAACTGTAGAAGTTGCCCCTCCAAGAGCAGGTGAAGTAAGAATTAAGGTAATTGTGCATTTTGTTTTAATTTCATATTTTTTTTTTCTTTCATAAGTTTTATAAGATGAACCATTAAACTTACTTTTTTCCCAACCTATAGACCCTTTCATTTAAGACCGTATTCAAGTTGTCGCCCTTGGATGACGTCATTGGGGAATACGGTGGACAATGCCGATACGATAAAGTACAATAATAGAGGGATCATTTCTCTTGTAAGGTTGGCAGATTGAAATTGCCAAAATTTATGTAATTGAATAAGATATTACATAAAAAGGATGGTGAAATTAATAAAAATGTTTACTTTAATAAGGTTAACGATTTGTTTTAATAGTAGACCATATTGCTGGGTAACTGACCATTTTCGTTAGATTCTTAATAATGAAAATTTTTCCAGGCAGTTAAATCGTACTAACTTTTCCAGAGATATAGATAATGTATCTATGTCTCTGCTAATATACAATGCCCAAAAGATATTTTGAGTTTCAAAAATGTAAAGATTCTGTAGTTTCGAAAAACGGCTTTATTAAAAATCATTTTGATTTTACTTAGACAAAGAAAAACAACAATATTATTTTTTGTTATTTAAAAAAAAAATGTAAAGGCATAAAAAGTAAAAATTCTTTTGAATGTACATGACTGTCAACTCGTACATCCAACCAATATATTTAAGCTGCTAAAGTGATATTTTCAAATTGATACTTTTTTATTCATATCTTATTCATATCTTATATTATCAAATATTCAAAAAAATAATAATAATTTTACGTATTTTTGACTGTGCCAGTTGGTAGGACTCTGGATCGAGTGTCAAATCGGTAAGGCATGACCTAGGATGATCCATAACAAAACGCGGACTATAAAAATTTTGACAACTAACAAAAGTGACGTAATCTGATGTAATGTTATAACTCTAAAAAATGCACCCTGGTGATTTATGATATCACAGGCAAGTGCCGCTTGTATATACAACATATGCACCCTTTTAATTAATATGTTACGGCCCAGTGGCGCTTAATATATACACATCTATATATCTATGAAATAAGTTACTAGGAAAAGGTCTTTATTTTAATAACCATAAGAATAATTTTTAATATCAAAATTATCTTATTATCGTCTGTTGCGAATCTAAAATTATAAAAGTCAATGCCACATGGTTTTCGTTCTTTCCAGACTATTTATAAAATTATATCCTTCACTGGTTCTTTGAAATATTTTTATACGGCATAGGCCTAATGAAAAAGAATCAGTAACTATTGACAGAATGAATTCTGTTGTTGTTCTATTAAAGCTTGAAAAACAGGACATTGGCAATCTTATTTTCATGTTTGTCACAAATACGCTGGAATTTTCTAAATGGCAGAAAATATCACAGAAAACTAGAAAATGGCCATTTAAATTTATAATAGGCAATTTCAGTGCGTATGGGTGTTTATAAAATATTAAAATTTGTTTTAGTTACTAGCTTTTTATCCCGGCATTAGAGAAAATCTAGATCTAATTAATAAATATACTGTATTCACTATGAAATTTCACTGTTTCACTCCGTAGCGAGAATTAATCTCAATCTTTGTTTTTGTATTTTTTTCTATTGTCTTGATATTGAATATATGTATGCATGCGTAAATTTTTACATGTTATAATCATAATTGAACGATCAGTATTTACGCATTTAACTTTTCAATAAGCTAACACTCTATGCGGCCTGCATAGTTTTATCCCCCATTTACGTCACATCCGGTAAGGGAAGTAACTCTTCCCGGACTGTTATCGCTTAAATGAAAGGGTCTATATAATGGCCACTCCCCTCCCCCACCCCCCAATTATGTAATTCCACAACCTGAACCTGTTTCTATAAGGGTGAAAAAAGGTTTTCTTTTTAGCTCAACTATACGAAGTATATGGAGAGCTGTCCTACTCGCCCCGGCGTCGGCGTCCGCGTCCGCGTCCAGATTTTAGATTAAAGTTTTGGTGCAGTAAAATATTTTTCACTATAACTTTGTCATTTCTTAAGGTATCAACTTCAAACTTCAAATATATGTTCCTTATCATCAACCACATCTTATGTGACAAGGTTCATAACTCTAGCACCAATATTTTTCAGATTTTATCTCCCCTTGAAACCGTTAGAATTTTTCTTAAAAAAGATACTATTTTTTACTGATTTCTTTACTAATGAGGATCAACCTTCATACTTCAAAATATATGTACCTTATCCATCATCCCCCTATCTTATGTTCTGACCAAGGGTCATACACTCTAGCAATGCAATATTTTCAGATTTTATCTCCCTTGAACTTAGAATTTTTCCTAAAAAAATACTATTTCTTACTGTTGTCTTTCTTTAATTTCTTAAGGGATCAACCTCATACTTTCAAATATATTTACATTAACATCATCCCCATCTTTATGTGACAATGTTCATAACTCGTAGCACCAATATTTTTAGATTTATTCTCCCTTTGAACTTAGATTTTCCATACAAAAATATTATTTTTAGCTCGACTTTTCTATGAAAAGGGGAGCTATCCTACTCGCCCCGCGTCGCGTCGGCGTTGGCGTCGGGCGTCGGCGTTGGCGTCACACCTTGGTTAAGTTTTTCGTACCACCCAACTTTATTAATCAGAAGTATTACAAGTATGGCTTTGAAACTTACCATACTTGTTCACCATCATAACCTCCATCTACAGACAAGAGTACATAACTCTGTCAAGGTTTTTGACAGAATTATGGCCCTTTTTTGACTTAGAAAGTGTATTGAGCTTGGTTAAGTTTTTTGTACCACCTCACTTTATTTCAAAACCATTGGAGGTATTGCTTTGAAACTGACCATACTTGTTTACCATCACGACCTTCATCAACAGACAAGAGGACATAACTCTGTCAAGGTTTTTGACAGAATTATGCCCCTTTTTGACTTAGAAAATACATTGAATATGGGTAAAATCCACTTATTGCCTTAACCCTTTGAGATATTGCTTTGAAACTTTTAATGCTATTTCACATCATTACCCCCATCTGTACGCAAGAGAAGGTAACTCTGTCAAGATTTGTTTAAAAATTAAGGCCCTTTTATCGACTTTAGAATCTTGGTTAAGTTTTTAGTACCAGTCCACTTTTTTGACTGAAGCTGTTTGAGATATTAATTTGAAGTTGGAATACTTGTTTTACCCATCATGGTCCCAAAACATGGGCAGGAGAGAGGCGTAATTCTTGTAAGATTTTAATTTGATGATTAGTGCCCTTTTTATAGACTTAGAAGAACTCAGTTAAGATTTTCATTCTTTCGTCCACTTGTTGACTGAGATATTACTTTGGAAGTTGGAGTTCTTATCTGTGCATCATGAGACCTATCTGTAAGCAGAGAAGATAACTCTGGGTGAAAATGTTTTTCTTGATTTGTTACTTAGGAAATTCCTAGTTTAAAGTCTTGGTGCCCTTAAACTGTCAAACGTTTTGTTTTATAGGCAAGCACTAAAAAAGTCGAGCGCGCTGTCCTTCTGACAGCTCTTTTACTGTAACTTATTTATTTCTAAAGGGATAACTTCATACTTCAAAAATATTACGTTATCATCATAAATCTTATGTGAAAAGGTTCAAAACCTTAGCCCCAAATTCGCAAATTATCTCCCCAAAAATTAATTTATTTACTAAAAAAATGTTATTTTTTTTTTTTAATTTTTTTTTTTAAAGGATCTCCCTCAAACTTAAATACTTTTTCCTTATTCTTTTTTTATTGAAAAATTTCATAACTCTTTGAACAATATTACGATTTTATCCCCCCTTTAAACTTGGGTTTTTCTTTAAGAATATAATAACTTCTTTATTTTTTAAGATATCATCAAACTTCAATTATATATTTTTTATCTTCACAAAATTTTGTGTGGCAAGGGGCCCTAACCTTCATGCTATTTCTGATTTTCCCCCCTTCCCCTTTTTGGGAATTTTAACAAATTTTTTTTACTATAATTTAATATTAATATAAAAATTGATTTTTCTTTCATAGTTTTGTCCTCCTTACTGCGTCCAGCATTTTATTAGTCGAGCTTCGCTGTCTCCTGTGACAGCTCTTGTTTATTTGATTGTTTAATATTAACAATCAGTGAATAAAGGCCAGTTACAAAAAAAAATGATATTAAAACAAACAAAAAAGTTAACAGCAGTGACCTACATTTCATTAAAAAAATTTCTGACAATGACATTTTAGTTTTCTTTGGTTGATCTTTTTTGGCAATCATTTACTTTATTTTTATATAATACCAAGTCTAATCCTTGTCTGATTTAAAGTTTATCAGATACAAAATGTGTTACAAATATAGAAGAACAAAAACATTTTTCACATATCAGTTATTTGATAGTAGGGAATGATTGTTATAAACTAAATAAAGAATGTATTATATTACTAAAAACAGATTTTGTTTCCTTTTGCTGTAGTATTGGATATAATTTTAATGAAATAGCATGTGTTTTTCATTGTTCCTAGATAAAAGATACCCCATTTTGAAGTGATGGAGAAAAAACAACACCAAAAACAACCCAGTTTAGTAACATGTACATCCCTGCGGTGCTACTTTAACTTTTGAGTGAAGATAAGGTCACTGGGTTCAAGGTCATCAGTACTTAAAAAAAAGAAAGAAAGATATTTAAACTTGCATCAACATACAGGAACAAAAATGCAGTTTTAAGAAGCGTCCAGGGCTTTTTTTCACAGGTTGGGGAAGCAGCCATGCCCTTAATTTTGGTGAATTGCAAAATGGGAAAAACACTTTATGTAAATTCAATTTCTTGGGAAAACTGCATGATTAAATAATTTTTATTACATGCTTTTCGGTGGTTTATAGAAATATATCAGTGATATAAAACTGATAATTTCACTGTTTTAAACAGTGAAATTATCAATTTGATAATTTCATTGTTTTAAATTTTAGCCCCTTGCATTGTTTAAGTTAAATACCAGTTTGCACAGCACTGAGAACCAACTTAATGTTGGACGTCGTAAATGACGTCACGTTGTATTATTATTCGGCGGGCTTTTCATTCAGTATTAGGTTTAATGTCTTTTTAAAATGTTTCTTTGCATATAATAAAAGAAAATTTGTTTAGTTTAGTGTAAGATTGAAATATATTTCACCTTGTGAACACCAAAATTTCATATTTCACTCATGGCTGCGCCACTTGTGAAATATACATTTTGGTGCTCACTTGGTGAAATATATTCCGATCTTACACTGAACTAAACAAATATCTTCTATTTCTTTGGGGAATGATAACGGCCTCTGCTTTAGTAGGAAAAAAGCCCTGGCTTCCATCAACTTATAACAACAAGTCTTGTATATAAGGTTTCATTGTATACTTTACACACATATTGTTTAAATTGTGTTTCAGTTAACGCATACTGGAGTGTGTCACACAGATGCATACACATTAGATGGGTTTGACTCAGAGGGCAAGTTTCCTGTCATTTTAGGCCATGAGGGTGGAGGTATTGTAGAAAGCGTGGGAGAGGGCGTTACATCAGTTGCTCCAGGTGAGAACGGTACTTTTTGTAGCATTTTCAGTGACACTGTAATGGTCATGCAGGAACAATCTAGCTTCTGTAGAATTTTCATGTTCCTGCTTGCATTATTTCAGGCACAAGTTGGTGACTGTGTAGAACCATCAACATTTTTTAAGCTAGCATGTATAACAAAATCTTACTGTATAACTAGTTAAGTTACAGACGCGAAAATATTAACGAATTTCATGAATTGACAAAGTTGCTAAAATTTCTTCTAGCCTTAATATTAACCAACCTGCCATTAAATTCTACCCTTCAACGGTTCAGAGTTCAGAGTGTGATCCAATCTCACAGGAATGAGGTGTAAGTGAGTCAAAGTCGAACAGCTTTAACCACCAAGTCATAAGAGTAACATGGATTTTAACTGTACCTTTCTACATTTTCCTCTTTTGATAATGTGATAGAAAATTGCCAGTGCCAGCAGTATTGAAAGAAGCCAAAGTGTTTCATATTAATAGAAATGATAGATCATTCAAGATACCAAACTTCTCTTTAAATAAATACACTTTAAATTGCTAAAAGGTTAATTGCGATCAGAGTTTATTATAACTCTTAAGCATGGTAGATCTATCTACTTTGAAAAATCCTGTACCTGAAATGGAAATGATGCATTGAAGTTCTCACAAAGTAAACCTGAAAAGTGGCCAAACAGCTCAACCAAAAAAAATAATACTATCTAGATGGAGAGACTTCAATATGATATGAAAATAGGTTTGATAATAAACTTGTGTTTTAGAATGCAGCTGTAGTTATATTCATGTTCCTTATTATGTTACAGGAGACCATGTGATTCCATTGTATATTCCACAGTGTAAGGAATGCAAATTTTGTAAGAGTCCAAAAACAAATTTATGCAGCAAAATTAGGTAAGTATTCTGTTGCTATTGTTTGTATACATTTTTATCATTTTTCTGAAGGTGATGTACAGTCTCCTTTCTTCACCTTTGTAGTGATTAATCTAAATATTCTCTGTAATGTGTCCCAGGACTGACAATGACCCCAATTTGGGAAAGTTAAAATAATCAGTCCAATGCCAAAATTACCAGTCTGTAAATTTGATAATGTATAGAAAATTTAAAGACACACACACACACACACACACACACACACACACATTTTGAAATTGTATCAATCAACCGCTGAAATATTTCATATGTTTTTAAACTGATATTGTTTATATCATTTGAAAATGTTCATGATAATCACACAATGAAGCAATGTGTGTTAATGAAAATAGACGAATGATGTTTAATATAGATTTTTAGAAATTTGAAACTTCTTCAATTAGAAGAAGTTCCAAATGCCCACTTGTATGAAATAAGACAAAAATCATCATTTTAGTGCAGTAAAGGGTTAAGTCCTTCTAAATTTAATAGGAGTTATCAGTTTTAGCACTAAGGTGACGAAATGCTTACAGAAGGTTGGAGTAGTTCCTGACAATGACAAAGTGCATTTATGGGTACCCAAAGTCTTCCCACTGTGGCCAAATCATTCTGAAAGATCAATTTATAGAAAAGATACATGAATGAAATTGATTTTGAAAACAACTAGAATAATGCCTAATGTGTAGTTTTATCTGACCAACAGGAGTACCCAGGGAAATGGAGTAATGCCAGATGGAACAACCAGATTTACATGTAAAGGAAAAGAAGTATTTCACTTTATGGGCTGTAGTACCTTCAGTGAATATACTGTTGTAGCCAGTATTTCTGTGTGCAAGGTAATACTTTCCACTGTCTTCATTTGTGTGTTTTAATTCCTGTCAAACCATCTGCCTACTTAGCTCTATAGGGAGAGAGCATGGTACATGTATTAGTAATCCAGGGGTCACTAGTTGGATCCTCGAGTGAGGTGTAATTTCTCTTTGACAATTGATCTTAAACATTTATTCTAATTGTCATTTATTCTTTACCTTTAACTCAGAAGTCATGTGGGATAAGTAGGTGGTCACTTGGGGAGAAATTGGAAATTACTAATTAGTTTTCAAGGAATTCTGGTTATGTGGGTTAGTCCCCCTGATGTCACCAAAATATGGGTAAAAATTGGTGTAAAAATTTAAATGTGTGTTTAAACCAGCAAAGCAGTATATCTCCAGGATCTATTGATATATGTTTACAAAATCTATAAACAGTAAACTTATGTTGTACCTGCTTCCAATAGAGTTGTTACATAGAATGTCATGTTCTTTAATACACATGAATATTGTTTGTTTACATATAGTAAAATGTGCCAGAATGAAATATAGTGCTCCAATTTTAAGCAGGGTTTTTAACTGTATAGCACTGATTTTGTACATGAGCCATTCACACTTAGGGAAATTTACATTTGTAAATTGTATTTCTTTTATACAACTATTTTGGAATTATACTTTTTCAAAATTCAAACAATGATTTTGTAAACTACATATACACGCGATCGAGATACATGTATAACTTTATACACTTATATTTTACTTTCTGTTTCATGTTTTCAAAGAAACTGCAAGTTACCTAGCTCATAGATTTATTCATACTCCATACAGTTTTGTACAAAAGAAGAATGAGATTACTGAAATCTTGATTTAAAGTTTGAATTATAATACAATACCTGATACATTATATTTAAATTTTTGCATTTATAGGTTGACCCAGCAGCTCCATTAGAGAAAGTGTGTCTGTTAGGATGTGGTATATCTACTGGATATGGTGCTGCCCTTAATACTGCTCAGGTGAGTGATAAACATGATCAATTATTTCCATTTTGAACCTTGAGATAAATTTTCATTTTATTTCAAATTACTTGCCCCTGGCCACATTCTAAACCAAAGAGGGACTTTGGGGTCTGTCATGTGAGGAAGCTATCCAGCTAGCTTACAGATTTTCATGGTTTTACTCATGTGTGAGCTTATGCCTGAAGTAATGGGGGCCTAAAGTCTTTCTTCACCAGTTACTCCTGAAAGTGGCCATGTGACCTTCTACATTGGTGTGACTAAAAACCCCACCAGATAAATGAAACTATACACACTTGGAAATTGAATATAGATTTAGGAAAGTAATTTTCTTTATTAAATTTTAGCTAGAGCTGTCTTTGATAGAAAAGATAATTGATGTATCATCAATATTTTTCAATAATGTTTGTAATGTTACAGGTAGAGAAAGGATCAACCTGCGCTGTTTGGGGTCTAGGGGCAGTTGGTTTGGCTGTGGTGATGGGCTGCAAGGCTGCTGGTGCTAGTCGTATCATTGGTGTTGATCTAAATCCAGACAAGTTTGAAATTGGTAATAACTGTTATATCTATGAAAGAATCACTTTGTCGTGTCCCCTACCAAATCAAGTAGCAGTAAAGATATTAACTTGAAATATCAATGCAACATCACAATGCAATTGTTTGCATCAAGTTTGATAACTGTGATCGGTTGTGTATCATAATTATGCTTTTTAACTTAGAAAATATCCCATTCTTGAATATATCTGGCAGATTTGACCTTGAGTGTAGTGGTTATTTTTCTCTCACTCTGATTTAAAATCATGTGAGATAAGTAATTTGTCACTTGCGAATAAATTGATAACTACCTGTTAGTTATCCAGGAAAGCTTGTTAGTTGGAGCCGAGATATGACCAAAAAAAATGTTTAAATCAGTGTAAAATGTAAACAAATTGTAAGAAATAAAAACAAAATGTTTTCATCATTTCAGCAAAGACTTTTGGTGCTACTGAGTTCATTAACCCAAAGGAATTTAGCAAGCCTATACAAGAAGTCATGGTAGAGAAAACAGATGGTGGGTGCGACTACACTTTTGAATGCATCGGAAATGTTGGCACCATGGTACTGATTTGAACATTTAATCTTGAAGTACAAACCCAGTTGTACATTAATTTGTTCTTAAACATACTTATACAGGTGTAAAAGAATAGAGTGCTTACACGGTCAAATGCTTCATTGATTAATGTAAGTTTTGCAATAGTCCCTAGATGATTTGCTAGTTGACAAGTTAGTTTCACGTACATCTCACTACAGTTCTCCAGGTTTGAAAACTGTTAAGGTCTTACTGTTCTTAATCTTTAACCTGCTGAATTTGTTAAATGGACTTGTCCAGCTTCCATTTTTGGAACTGCCCAATTTTCATTTTAGAAATATGAAGGTAAAAACTGTCAGCTAACGGTATAGAGCCTGGTCAGACTTTAACGGATGTGCAAGCTGGTTCTAAACTGATGGCAAAGATTTATCACTTTAAGTTCCAGTAAGAAAATTGTTAATAACTATACAGTGAGCTTATCTGTAAGAAGTAAAGATAGGCTAATTGTCAAAAGTTAATAATTATGTATGCCTTAATTTTGCCCTTTTAATTTTGCCCTGTGATGTTTAACATTTATAGCGACGTTAAACAGCAATGTAGAAAATAAAAAACTGTTAACCTTGATTTTGCCTTCCCTCCTTTAACAAATCTCTTCAATTTGTGTTTCCCTGATCTAAATTCTCTCTTCTGTCTTTAAACTTGTAATATAATTTGAGCTGTGTCATGAAAAAACCAACAATATGGTTTTGCGACCAGCATGAATCCAGACCAGCCTGCGCATCCGCTCAGTCTGATCAGGATCCATGCTGTTCGCTTACAAACTCTATAAAAAGTAGAGAAACTGATAGCCATCAGCATGGATCCTGATCAGACTGCGCAGATGCGCAGGCTGGTCTGGATCCATGCTGGTCGCAAACCCATTATGTTGGTTTTGTCGTGACGCGGCTCATTTAAGCAATGGTTTCACAATATTATTTGATATGATTGTTACAGAGGGCTGCGTTAGAATCTTGCCATAAAGGTTGGGGAGTATCAACAATTATAGGAGTGGCCGCAGCAGGGCAGGAAATTTCTACACGACCATTTCAACTAGTGACAGGTCGTACATGGAAAGGAACGGCTTTTGGAGGTATGTTTGATTGGTTATTTCTATAAGCTATGTTAGTTTTGAAACCTTAGCCATTTTTCAGTGTCTTCAGTGTTTTCAGTCATGTGTGACTAATTACTGTTATATCTTGAAAATATTTTGGATTCAGATGACATTTTGATTAATATTTCTGTGCCTTTGGATGTATCTATGTCCATAAAGAGCTATGAAGACAACAAAGAAAGTTCACTATTACTTCAGACATCTTGATCTTAAGTTCAATATATTCCTTGAACAGAGTTTATTTAGGCAACAGACCTGTCCTGAGAAAAAAAAAATACATAGTTGACTTTATGTATAAAAATATAGTTTGGGTATAAGACTATGGGTGGCATAATTAACCCTCTTTAAACCCTACCATGCTAAATATATCCATCTTTCAGTATGGACAAAATCAGTCATCATTTTCAGGAGAAATGTCAAAATATCTACTGATAGTGAACAGTGCATCCGTGATTAGGAGGCACCAATGTGTTGGCTGAATATAGCCTAATGAAAAGAGATGAACTTATAGTCCTATTTCCACCTGTAACAACTGGAGAGTTCCTACTAACACCCAAGTGTGTATATACTTAAAACCAAATAAATTCTATGTGTTATTAATCTACAGGCTGGAAAAGTGTCGAGAGTGTGCCAGTGTTAGTTGACAAGTACATGAAGAAAGAAATGATGGTGGATGAGTTTGTCTCACACAACATGGACCTTGAGAAAATTAATGAAGCTTTTGACTTGATGCACTCTGGAAAGAGGTAAGAGTTTTCGTTTTTTCTCTGATCAAAACTCTAAAGTTCTACAGTGCTACCTCTGCTGAGCAACACCCTTGCGAAAGATAAAGACGTTGATTGTTGCAGAGAGGTAGTTGCTCTACAGAGGTTAAGTTTATTGTGAATTGTTTATTATCCCCCGCCGAAAAGGCGGCGGGGGATATAGAAATAGTCTCCGTCTGTCCGTCCGACTTTCCATCCTTCCGTCCGACATTTTTGTCTGGAGCATATCTAAAAATATTTGAGTTATCAACTTGAAACTTCATAGGTGGATGGACCTCATTGAGGAGGAGTGCAGTGCACAAGAATGATAACTCTACCCTGCATAATTTTTGAGTTATTGCCCTTTGTTATTTTTCAAAATTGATTTTTGTCCAGAGCATAACTCCAAAAGCCTATGAGATATCAACATGAAACTTCATAGGTGCATAGATCTCACTCAGGAGGTGTGCAGTGCACAAGAATGTATTTGAGGTATCAACTTGAAACTTCATAGGTGGATGGACCTCATTGAGGAAGAGTGCAGTGCACAAGAATGATAACTCTACCCTGCATAATTGTTTAGTTATTGCCCTTTTTTTATTTTTCAAAATTAATTTTTGTCCAGGCCATACTCAAAAGGCCTTTGAGATATCATTATGAAACTTCATAGGTGCATAGATCTAACTCAGGAGGTGTACAGTGCACAAGAATGATAACTCTATCTTTTATAATTTTTGAGTTATTGCCCTTTGTTATTTTTCATACTTAATTTTTCAATTCAATTTTTTTCTCAAAAAGTATTTGAGGTATCAACTTGAAACTTCATAGGTGGATAGATTTTACTGAGGAGGGATGCAGCACACAAGAATGATAACCTACCCTGCATTATTTTTTTGTTATTTTCAGCCATCAGTATTCACATAGGTTTCAAATCTGTAATCACTATAGCCATCAGTTTTCATTACCAAAAGACCTCTTAAAATGGAATTATTCTGCTCTACTACATATACATTCTTCCAATGAGCAAACACATTCGGCGGGGGATGGCCATGTTGACATGGCTCTTGTTACTTTTGGAAGAATTGATATTGTTGTTAAGTAGAGGTTATCAATCTAAAGAGGGCTACTCTGCTAAGGTCACACTACATGTATATATACATATTATAACATCATTGAAATTTTTAGTTATATATATACACTATATAACCATGAAGAATTTTCAATAAGTATTTATACATATATTTTATATATAAATGCATATTTTATTTCCTTTATAAGTAAATATATAGTAGTATACTGAGATTGTACATGCACTTCTGTTGTGCAGGCCCAATAGTATTTAAAGATTTCTCCAAGAAATACTTCTATATTTTCGTACTTTTGAAGCTAAAGAAAAATTCTGGAAGGTTTTGGAGGGAGACAGTAAAATCCCACCTTATTATTGTGTAATTCAATTCATTTAATAATTGAACTTCAATCTTGCAATAAGATTTGTGCATGTTAATCCTATAAACTTAGGGAAAAATAAAAGGCGTTGTTTTACTTTCAGCATCAGGACAGTGGTTGCATTGAAGTAAGCATTCAGAATGGATCATGTGACCTGTGACAAGGGCCCTATCACATTGTGAGGCTGCTGTAATGATGACTTCCGTATGATTGGTTGATTTATATCACATGTTGTCATGACTGCTGTATGATTGGTTGATTTATGTCACATGTTGCGATGACTGCCGTATGATTGGTTGATTTATATCACATGTTGTCATGACTTCTGTATGATTGGTTGATTTATGTCACATGTTGCGATGACTGCCGTATGATTGGTTGATTTATGTCACATGTTGCGATGACTGCCGTATGATTGGTTGATTTATATCACATGTTGTCATGACTGCTGTATGATTGGTTGATTTATATCACATGTTGTCATGACTGCCTTATGATTGGTTGATTTATATCACATGTTGTCATGACTGCCGTATGATTGGTTGATTTATATCACATGTTGTCATGACTGCCGTATGATTTATATCACATGTTGTCATGACTGCCGTATGATTGGTAGCTATTATATTAACTTTTGTTTCATACTGATTTACTTTGATTGTGACATGATTTGTTTTTGATTTGTTAATTAACCTAGTCTGTAAAGGCCTTTTCTTTGGTGCTTGGAGTTTACTTTAACTTAAGTTTGCTTAATTTATAGTCTTTGTTAACAACTATTTTATTGTTTGTTTCATTTAATATAAAAGTCAGTAGCTTTTCATGTCAACTAGTTTTACTTAAGTGTGTTTGTTGAAATAAGTCATATGATGTGTTGCTTAAATTTGATACTATTTTTTATAGAATTATGTGATGTTTGTTAGGGCATTGATATGTGAAAGCTTGAGGTCATTTAGGCAGTAATCAAATAACAGGATTTACCAATAACAGTGGTACTAAAGTATGGTAATTAAATTTTGATAATATAAATTATGATATTATTGGAAAAGGGTAATAACTGTGTATGTAATATTTCTTAAGAATAATCTGGGTCTTTATACTTGTTAAGGGTGTCATATTTTTATTTACATTTATAAATTATTTGCATTTAAAGAAGTAAAGGTTATACTTTTCTAATTATATTTTCAATGTTTAAGAAGAAACTATAGTTAATGATACTGCCAGGTTATCTGCATGTGATAATGACATGGGAACCAGCTTATAAATGTATATATAGTCATGTGTGAGCCAGGACTCATATACTTTCATTGTGTAAAATAATGCATTTATTCTATTCTTGTGTTGAAAAATTGAAGAAAAAAAGAGACCGGAGTGACAAAATGTTCATATAAATGTTTGTTTATACTTTTGCATTTATTTCGCTTTTTAATTCAAACGAATATAATGTATGTAGCAAATGCATCACAAATAGACAATGTTATTTTGGCTAACATACACAATTTACTTGGTTTTCTGAATTTCAGACAGATACAGTATTTTTTATAAAAATAATGACCTGGAATTTGTGCAAAAGTACAGAGTTTAAATTTTCAATTTAATGAAAATCATTTTATATATCACTAAATTGATGGTCACAAATTGTGCATAATTTTGAAGCCCAATACTGAATACTTAAAAGCATTATTATATGTGTAATTGATGATAATTAGACCAAATATTTACAATTTAATCATAATAAAAAATAAAAATATTAACAGATAGTATTGTTTGTTTTTGTATTATTCTACTTCCATATTTCCATTTTAATGTGTTTCTAAGCTAAGTTTCATCAGATGATCACTGATCGTACTTTTTGGTTCAAACCTGGTCACTTGATTTTTACATACACTTGTCTATGGTCTATTGGACTTCTTTCAGTTTTGTTAAAACCATGACCCTGGGGTCAAAACTAGCCGGTCCCCGGTGCGTTACTGGGTAAAACCTTTAAAATGGTCATCTGCATAGAGCTTAGATATTTTTATGTAACATTGTATAGTAGATCGTTTACAAACATTGGGTTCAAAATTGGCTCCGGCTTGTGAATCACGTATTAATTATACTCAGCTGTAGCATCCAGCCTTGTTCGGAATATATGGTCTGCATTCATATAGGAAAGATAAAAAATGTTCACTATATGCGGCATAGTTGTGCACACATGTCATAGGCCAAGATCAAACAGGTAAACACTTGTCTTCAACATACATAAATTGATTTTAAACAATATAACTGCGTCGGACGCAAAATTCAAATCCCTGTGGCCAAAGTCAGACATAAAAATTGAAAATGTGTACAAGGACCATTTAGCTGTCATGGATAGAGGAATTGTATCCCGTTCATGAGGCTGAGGTGAACGTTAATACGTGCAAGGTCAGTGTCGCCAGAAATTTAAATTGTCAACAATTTGTAAGGAATATATCTTTTTCAGATTGGGATTATGTTGCAAAATGTCATATCAAATGGCGACTTTCCAGCTTTGCTGGTGGAGGAAGAACCTCCGTCGTGCATTATTTCAGCACGAGCGGGTACTCGAGTAGAACCACCGACGTTCCTTAAAGCAGCATGCTTCCAGATTCATGCCAATTTTCATGAACATTTTCAAAATGTTTTTTTTAATGAAATAATATATAAGAAACCAAAGAAAGTAATATACATGTACACATCGCAAAATGCAAGTACAATGTACATTGCCAGAATGAGCATATTAAAGAAAATATGGTTTTTAATACCGCAAAATCATTTATAAATTGCATAAAACATGTAAATTATTACTTGAATTTTGAATCTTTTTTTACTTTTCTTTTAAAATTTAGTATATTTTTCTCAAGTTTGATTTTGTTCGTCTAGATAGTTTCCTCACATGAAAGAATCCATTGTCCTTGCGGGATTCGAATCCACAGCGGTGAAGGGCAGTGGTTTGACATCAAAGAACTAAAAAGCCTTTCGGGCACGGACAATAGTTGATAGAGATCACATCAACCAAGTCTCAAGGTCAAGAGTCACAGAGGTCATAAAAAAGAGCTTATCAGGAATGCATTTTTAATAACTTGGTAGTGTCCGGCGCATGTTGAGGTTCAATGATTATGTAAATGTGTATATGAGCCATATAGTGAATATAATTAAGAAATTAAATAACATTTTTTAGAAATATAAATCAAATATGAAAATGTGATTATGGACCATTTAGTTGTCTTGAACTGAGGAATTTACAAATGTTCACAAATAATTTATATTCATGAGACTGATCAGCAAAATCCAGGACAAAATATGCAAAAACCAAGGTCACTAGGGATTATTAAATCAAGATTTGTGTATCTCCTTTATGCATTGATGTAATTTAAGATTAATTGAAATAATTGTTCATCATTAATGTAATGATGCACTAAAGAATCAGGTCTCTAGGTCAAAAGTTAGGGTAACATGTAGCGGTCAGGCAAAAAAGCTTGTCTTTAGTCACAAATCCTATTATCTCCCCTTTGAGCTAAGCGGGCGGACTTCAAAAGACTATTTTGATACAGAGCGGACACGCAATTTTGAAATTGCATAATAACTAAGCGTGACCTTGACTGATGACTTTGACCCGATAACCCGAACTCTGCACATTGGTATATTTTGGTCATTTTTTCTGCGAGTAGTTTCAATTTCATTCTATTGGTTTAAAGAATACAGAGCGGACACGAAATTGCCAATGGACTTTCTGGCGAAGATCACCATAACAATCTCTCGTTTTCGTATATTTGTAAAGTTAGAAAGCGTCCATATTACGTCAGAAATCATTAAAAGTTTAGAAAAGCAAAACATATTGGCATGGTTTCGTTTTTTTTTATATAAACGTGCAACGCAGTTACTTAATTAATGCAGACTTATAAAAGCTTAATCAATTCATTTGACATTGTCCCTGTTTTCTGACTTGATAGTGTGATCGCTTGTTGAAGATAAAGGGTCACCGTCATATGTTGATCATGCCACCAAAGACATAAATATCTAAAATTATATAATATGAGACGATACATCGAATGTCACTAGTATTTTTGTTGCTGAAAAACAGCCGTCGTCAATTTCTAGGTAGTTTCCTCAAGAATTCCCTGTCAACGATGTACATACCTTTTCCGAAAAGTAACTGTTATGTCATTAAATAAATGAGCCGCGTCACGACAAAACCAACGTAATGCGTTTGCGACCAGCATGGATCCAGACCAGCCTGCGCATCCGTGCAGTCTGATCAGGATCCATGCTGTTCGCTATCAGTTTCTCCACTTGTTATAGGGTTTGTAAGCGAACAGCATGGATCCTGATAAGACTGCGCGGATGCGCAGGCTGGTCTGGATCCATGCTGGTCGCAACCATTATGTTGGTTTTGTCATGTCGCGGCTCAAATGTATTTTTGTTAAATCAGCAGCGTTTGTAGTTTGAATGACGTTAACAAATTTTACTGTATAGGACACGAACTTTGCGATGTTAAACTTTAAATATCAGGCTGTCCGCACTTATATTCTGTTCAATATGAGGTATTGGGTGTTGCTTACTAGCGGCTTATTCTATTTAAGTATTTCCAACAGTGTCCTCAAGACAAAGTTCATTTATGGAAGCTGTTGTTAAGAGTATGGAGTTTAACAAGACTTCTGTATTTTGACCAAGCGTCATGAGCACGCTCAATCAAACCAAGCCTGCAACATTTTCAATTTTACCGTTTTGGACGTTCTTTCGAGATTCCTTTTCTCTCTCTATTCTATGCTGTTGGTAGCTAAATTTTGTATTGGTTTTGAAATACAATGTACATTAAACCTAAAATAAATTTATTATACCATTCCTTCAAAACGGGGTTTCAATTTGTTTTTTAATAATGTATTTGAAATGTAATAAATTGTTACCATTCTGATTGATAAAATACACAATTACTCATAAATACCTAATTTATCAAGAGTGTTAACTCGGAAATTTGAATTACTTAGTTGAAATTTAAACATAATCAATATTTTCCAATCCCCAAACTTCACACCCATACATTATCAATTAAATGTAGTTGGCCAGAAATCGACACGCCATTAGTATGTGACATGGCTTTTCTTCCTTGCTCAGGTTATTTAGCCTTAGATTTTGAAAAGTTTCCATTATAATTAAAAAGTATATCATAGTATATTCATAGACAATGTGTAGCTGTCTGCCGTTATAAAAGAAAGGATTTTGATTCATTACTTTCCCTTTTATAAAGAAAATACGTACTAAAGTCTTATTTTCACAGACTTGCAAATCCCACATTTTACAGTAGTCAAAAATCTGGAAAAGTAGTGATCCATCTGAAGCAGTTTAACAACAATATTATATGTAAATTGCAGACTCGGTTTGATTGGGTCTGTTCATGAGAAATAATGTAAATGTGTAAAATGTTTCACGCCCCCTAGCACCGGCTTAAGCGGTGCTCAATCAATATAGCTTTTTAGAGCTAATGTAGGTTGGACTGGCTCTCTGGAAATAAAATAATATCATCTCCATAAAGCAGTAAAATAAATAAAGCCTTCCACACATTAGTTCAAATGTTCGAATTTTAAATAGATGCTTTTTCATATTAAAAATGTACTAATCTTCGTAAGAATCAAAATGATTTAATCCAGTAATCATTATGTTTGTAAACAACTAATAATAATGATTCTTCGATATAAAACTGTTAGGATCTTCGTTGCCGTATGTTTTTTTAAATGGTTATATTATACATTGACTCCATATTTCTGATAAATGCCAGAATTTTAAACAACATTAAAAAATGACAATAATTTACAAAAATACAATATTGTCAGCATATTTGAAATATTCATTCAAAATGTCACCATTTTTTTATTCTTTTTACTGATACAGGGTGCATTCGGATATCGTTTTCGGTTATCCTTATCCGAAGATTGACTGAAACGGCCGAAAAGTAGCGAAAAATATTTCGGTTACTGAGTACACAATTGATGTTTGATCAGTACGTGTGCCTGATAAGGTAAGACCAGCTAGGATTGTAGCGTCAAGTAGATTGAAAGTCGGTCTTTACATGTAATTGATGACATATATCACCAGTCAAGGTGTTATACTACAATGCGGCAATATATTATGGTGGCTGATTTGGAACGCTTTTATGCGTCGTGTTGGTGCTAGAGACATCAGGACAAAGCGTCAAACGACGCGTTGTCGCACTGTGTCTCTAGCGCGGCATGCCAAACGGCCGGCGCGTTGTCGTGCGGCGCGATGTCGCCCTGTCGCTTGGCTTATTAGCCAATCCTTCAATTTGAACCGAGCGACAATGTGACATCGCGACAACACGCAGCACGACAATGCGACGTTTGTCGTGCCGCGCTAGAGACAAGACGACAGCGCGACAACGCGCCATTTGGCGCTTTGTCATGTTGTTGCTAGCACCAACAAGACGCACAAAAGCGTACCAACTCAGCAACCATACATTGTCGCTCGATTCAAATCGAAGAATTGACTTATAAGCCAAGCGACAGGGCGACATCGCGACAACGCGCTGCACGACGTTTGGCGTGCTTTGCTAGAGACAAACTCCTCACAGTGATTACCTCCCTTGGCAGCATTGTACGCCGAAGAATTAAAGGGAGATCACTGCGTGGAGATTGTGCTAGAGACAGGACGACAAGACGACAGCGCAACATCGCACCGTTTGGCACTTTGTCGTGTTCCCGCTAGCGACACGTCGAAAAGACGATAAGTTGCGTTGTCGCTATCG